TCAGTTACACGTGGGGAAGGGTAAGCACCCCCATAACGTTCAAAATTGGCTTTGAATCGCTTACACATTGCCGAAAATTATGGAAATTACAAATCGAATATAAAGTTAAAATATGATTGATTTATTAAATTTCTTCGAATTATTTATCAGAGAAAATTCTTTAACTTGAAAAGAAAACTCGAGATTAGCAATCCTCCGTCGGGAAAGGTAACTCGTCTATTTCTTATCTTTAAAGAATATTCTCTCTTCATTTATTAAAAAACGCAAATCGAATATAAGTTGAAAATTTACATTTGCTTAAAATAATCAAATTGATGTTTAGAAACGTACATTGCATCATTTGAATAAGAACACATTAATTAGAAAAATAAACTTGATTTTATTTCAAGTTCCCATGCCGTACTGGATTGCACCACTTCGACCAAGTGATGCTTCCCAGACTCATTCTACGCATACGTGTTATTGAAATTATTCGAATAATATACCAATAGATAATAGTACGATAAAATTGGAAATATACAAATAAAATATTTACAGTAAATAACAATCATATTACAAACAATAAAAATAAAATAATAAACAAAAGGGATTAAAACAAAACAATAAAAAAATTTAAAGGACCAAAAAATAATTAATAGAAACTTGAGGACCAAAATAGCAAAAAAACTTAAAGGACTAAAATAGAAAATTAAAGGAAAAAAATAACATAAACAGAAACTTAAAGGACTAAAATAGCAAAAAAATAAACTTAAAGGACTAGAATAGCACAAACAGAAACTTAAAAGACTAAAATAAAAAATAGAAACTTAAAGGACTAAAATTGAACAAATAGAAATTTAAAGGACTAAAATAGGATAAATAAAAATTTAAAGGATTGAATCATAAATATACATAAATCAGAGCCAAAAAATGAAAATATTAAACAGTATAGGTACTATAAATGAAAATAACCCATAAATCATATTTAGGACTAAAATAAAATAACCATAAACATAAAGGACCAAACAATAATTAAACCAAATACTAAGCATTGACTAAAATAAAATATTTACAAATGACATGGCCAAATTCGAATATCAACAAAAAATACATAGCACACTAACTTAGTGACTAAAATGAAATAATAACAAATATTATGACCAAAGGCCAATAATAACAAAAATTGCATAACATATAAAATGGTGACTTTTATACAAACATCGAAAACAAGAGCCCAAAACAGAATAATACCATACTTCTATTAATGGCAAAAAGTGAATATTACAAAGAAATAAGGACTAAAGTAGATGTTTACCCCTTACGCAAAATTATAGAACTCATCCCCTCAAAACGACGTCGTTTCACTTGTTGTATATAAACTTAAAATGGGTCCAAACCGACCCACCTTCTTCATTTCTTTCTTTCCTCGTTTCTTTTAAAGAGAGAGAACGGAGAGGAAGCTCAAGAGAGCTTCAAACGGAACTTCAAAGTTCCCAGAAACTGGCGAGCATACGTCGTGTCGGTCGTCATTGATCGGCCCCAGTCGTCATCCGTCAATGGCGGAGGAGAGAGAAGAAGACAACACCCGACTCATTTATTCCTCCTCAACACAAATTTAGAGTCGGATTTTCAAGAGAGCAAATCTAAAGAAAAAGGTAAATATTTCTTACATTTTCCTTCCTCTCTTATTTTGATGTTTGTTTTTTTTTCTCTATATTTTTTTCTTTTCGAAAAGCCCTTTACTTTCTCTCCCTCTCTCCGTTTTTCTTTTTTTCCTCCTTTGTCGAATGGTCCCCGAATCACTCTCTCTGTATTTTTTTTCTCTCTGAACTTTCTCTTCCTATTCGTTTTTTTTCTTTCTCTCCCTGTTTTTTCTTCCCAATCCCTGAATAGTTCTCGATTCCTCTTTCTTCTTTTCTATTATGGTTGCATGTGTCTTTGTGATAGATCTGTCTGATGGATTTGAGCTCCTCGGGTTAGGTAACAATATCCTAATTTCTAGGATAAGATTTGTTGTAGATTTGTTCTGACTTGGTGTGATTTGGTGTAGAAATAAGTCACTGTGGATGATAACCATCAAACGGTGGGGTGTTTGACGGTGGCTGGTGGAGATCATTAGGATGAACCCTAATCCTTGAGCGATCTGGACCGTTGGATGGGTCCAAATCTAACGGTGAGTAGTGAGGCGGCTACTGATGTTAGGGCAGAACCCTAATTTGTTTGGGTTATTGTCTCGGGCCGGTTAAGGTCTCCTTCGGGTCGGATTTCGACTGGATCAGGTCGAGTGCTGGATGTTGAGTCATTTGGTTCCAGTTGTTTGGGCCGTTGGTTGGCCTTTGTTGGGCCCCGTGTTAAGCTTGTAATTGGCCTCGGGTTTAGGCCTGCAAAATGTAATTTAACTAATAATAATAATAATAATAATATTTTTTTTAGACCCGGACAAAAATAGGTGTCTACATACGATATACAGAAAAATATGGTTTCAATGATTTCAATGGTTTTTTTTCTGCTAGTGAAGAAAACTCGAGGAATGGGGATGAAATAGTGGGAGATATTCGACACATGTTCGGCGACAAAAGCATGTTTTCCTCAGCTTGAGATGTCAATGAAGAGGCAAGGGCAGACGGTATCCAGAGGGCACAAGAACTATGAACTCATGCTTAACCTGCAGCATGGTATCAGGTAGTGATCTCTTGTATTTCTGCTCGAGTTCTTATTAGTCTGAATGTAACTTGTTTTGGTATATGTATCGCCTTCTAGATTATGTTCATCAATCTTGTAAAGATTTCTTGGTTTCGAACTCGTTTCGGATTCAAGATATAATGATTAATGTTATAATCATGCATGAATTGGCAGACACTCTGTTGGAAGACAAGGTCCTGCCATAACCCTTGAATTGAAGTCTACAGCATTTGATCCTAAGGAAAAAGTATGGACAAAGATTCCGCCGGAAGGATCAAAGCACACTCCGTCTCATCAATCTTGCTAATTCAGATGGAAGGATTACTGTCCACTTGTATTCAGGTTCGAGACCGGATTATCGTCTTTTGTCACATTAGATGATCATTGTTTGAAGAACCACTGTGAGTTAACATTTGCTTCCGCCGGAAGGATCAAAGCACACTCCGTCTCATCAATCTTGCTAATTCAGATGGAAGGATTACTGTTCACTTGTATTCAGGTTCGAGACCGGATTATCGTCTTTTGTCACATTAGATGATCATTGTTTGAAGAACCACTGTGAGTTAACATTTGCAGGACCCTCAGGAAATTGTTCGATGTTGATGCAGTGGATTACATGCTTTCGTTATGCACGAGTGACACCCTTCGGGAACTTTCATCCCCGGTAAAAAGCGGAAGCGTTTTTTACTTGACCACTGATGACAAATACATGATAAAACAATGAAGAAGGCAGAAGCTAAAGTAAGTGTCCAATGTTTTCTCCATTGGAACCAACTTGGAAACCTGCAATTTCTAAATGATCATGGCATTTTGGACACTATTGCACTTGCAGGTCCTTATAAGAATTCTTCCTGCCTATTATTAACATGTTCAGTCCTTTAAGGACACTCTAGTTACCAAATTATTCGGTCTTCATTGCATGAAATTAACTGGTACGGTAAAGAGAAAGATAATGCCAATATCACACGGTTTCAACTCATAAAATTTCCGAAAATGATCTCATACTTTCTTCACTTGTGATCTCGATGATTCAGGTTCGATTCATTATAATCAGGAACCTGTTTTGCTCCGACTATGCCATTCACCAGCGCTTTGACTTGAAAGGTTCTTTCCAAGGTCGTACAACTGCTAAACCTGAATCCGAATTAGATCCGACAACAACCCTCAAGGACCTCGATCTCAATTATATATTCCGACTGCCGAAACTGTGGTTCCAAGAGTTCTGCAGGTGATTCTCTTGTCTAAATACCTCTTTATTTTTAAGGTTCATGGTTCGATTCTTTTCCTACGACTTTTGTGCAGGCAAGTCAACAGAGATTGCGACTTTCTTGAATGTGAGAGAATTATGGACTATAGTTTACTCGTCGCTTTGTACTTCAGTGAAGTTCCCACACGTACTGGTTATTTCTAGTCATCTATGGAAATTCATGCTTCATTTGAACTCGATGATTGCTTAATAGATTAACAAATGTTCCGGACTTAACTTGCAGGAAATGGAGATTGCGAAAACGGAGAAGCTCCTCAGATATCCCAATCCAACAATGATCATCTTGTTATCGACACCACACGGTAAAATCGATTGCCATTGCCATGAGAATTTATAGATCTAAAACATTGCATGGCGTCTAAATGAAGTGATACATTTCAATACGAAAAAATGCAGGCAGACATCTGATAGATTAGGTATAAAGATAGCCGCTCAATCCGAGAAAACGGAGAGAAAAACCGACTATCAACTGGTTGGAGAATCAACTGGTGTGACATATAATGTCATTCTCTTCTTTGGTATAATGGATATTATACAAGACTATGATATTAGCAAGAAGCTTGAGCATGTGTATAAATCAATGCAATATGATCCGACCTCGACCTCCGCCATTGATCCAAAGCTATATTCAAAACGCTTCCGAGATTTCATTTTCAAAACTTTTGTACATAACACTTGAAAATCTCATGATCTTTACAAGATTTTCTACTCGGAACCAGTGTCCATTTACAAACATTCGATCGTATTCCAGAATTATGATCAGTTAAAAGCAAATTATCCAACTTCATTGACATGGCCACGGAGGACGAATCGTGGCAGCTCTGGACACGCCCTTGTAATCGAGGATTAGTTTCTACTGTCGGATTTATGATATGCTACAGCCAGGGATCAGGCTAACATTGTAAGCATAGCTATTAAGGTTTGTTTCATCTGTATATGAAATTTTCAAATGGTGAAACATACAATATCTGAATCAACCTTGCAATGCCTTAAGATCCCTTGCATTACATTCGAACCAACTCTTCAAAATCGAGCAAAATATACTTCCAAAACAATGTTCCGTATGAATTGACAACTGAAATCGTTCTACGAAGACTTGTTATCGAGGACGGGGAGCAACTGACCTGGATTCAGAACAGCAAAAGCAAATTTGCAGTGCTTATGACTGACCAAAATTATGCTGAAGTACCACTGTCCTTCATTGCAAGGTCTGTAGCGCGGCAGCATCGAACAAGTCATGAGTTTAAATCTCGATAGATGCAACCTTTCTCTTAAAGATAAAATAAAGCATGAACTCTGTGAATGGTATATAATAAATGTGCATTCAACCAAACTTGGCTTGATTGAATCTTGTTCGTCACCTGGCACATACATACAGAGAAACTTGTGAAGATAAACACATGCAAATGATAGATCTGCATCTTTATTGAGGAAATTGCAACCATAAACAGGATGAAGTTTCATGCATCGGTCGGACCGGAAGTGTTTGTGAGGATGAATATCGGTAAAATGATGAACACAACAATATGGTACTGTGGAAATGTATCAGGCACTACAGTGGACATATATCTTAGCAAATGCAATCTTCTGCTTCTTTATCAAAGATGGATGGTGACAATCGAACGAGCACTGCTCAATCATGATGCTTCTCACCAACACCGACACCCCATCTTTGATTTCGAAGAAAGGCATAGGCAATTGGGGATAAGAACTGTATAATCCTATGACTTAAGGGGAATGAACTATGAAGTAGCCTTCAGACAATCAATTGTTAGTCCTATTTAGCACCTAGAGAAACATCATTTACATGTTGAATGCTAAAGATTTTACCTTAAACCGACCGTCGGTCACCAGACACCAAGAAGGTGTTTGGTGGATCGACGATTTGTGAAGAAGAATCCCTCTCCCCATCCCTTCCGTTGCTGCTGTTTTCGAAAATGACTTTTGAAATACAGGGAAACACATTTTTCACATCGACTCCATGATCATATAGGAACCCCTTGAACACATGGCCACTTATATTCACAGTAGCTTGGTAAGCAACCTCCGCCTTGCCGTCACTAATGGCCGTCACCTGAATACACCTGAAAACAGCCGGCGCTCGTACTTGACCCGGTAGCGATTCTTTAAATCTTGAATCTAAAGAACCGGTTTTAAATTAACATCAGAGAACAATTTAAGGAGATAATCAAAGTTGTTTACCATAAAAACAACATATTTTTGTGCATTATAACTCATCCAATTGTCCTCCGATGAGTATATTTTCAAAAAAAATTATTAATCAACATCGACACATTGCATACATTGCAGACGTAACTATTTGAACCCGATTGTTCTTCTTTTCTCTACCAAATCTCAGCTTATTTTAATTCTTGATTGAATAGAAATATTATGAAACGAAGATGAACATAAGAGAGTAAACAAACCCTGGTGAGAAGTGGCATCTTCAAAATTCAAAGACTTGGAAGCAGCATTTGAAGTGAAGTTCAAAACCCTTTGCCTTTTACCACTGCAAGTGGAGGACCCCGAAGACCCACCGCCGTCCTCCATCCCAACCAGCGCCACCTTCCTGTCTTTTTTCCGAGCAGCAGGCACCCACGTGCTCTTCACGTGAGTAGCGCAATCGTAGCCTCTACTCTTGCAACAAGTCCTACACCTGCTATATCGACACTCCTTCTTCGCCCTATTCCCACAGTCTCTACACACCTTAAAACAACCACCGCCGCCGCCGTCTTCTTCATCGTCTTCTTCGACAATAGTCAAGACTCCATCTGTCGTTGCCGTGCTCCTCTTTGAAGTCCAAATATTTGTGTTAGTCAAGTTGTAGTTATGGTAAAAGGCTTGTTGTGGTGGCGGCGGCGGCGGCGGGGGAGGCTGTTGTTGTTGGTGGTGGTGGTGGTGGTGGTTCTCCTGTGATGTTGTTGGTGGTTGTGGATCTATAAGGAAGACGTTATGGAGGCCTAACATGCCGCTGGTGGGGTGGTGGTGGTGATGATCATCATCATGCAGCGGCAGTGGCGGCGGCGGCCATGTTTTGGTTGGGGTGGCCACAATTGGAAAGGTTTTGAATGAAAATGTTATCAAAGATTGTGCTGAAAGGGTGAAAGTTGAAAGATAAAAATGGATGAATCAAAGAGAAAGAAGAATTTGTTTGATATGTGAAAAGCTGATGCTCATCTATCTGACAGTGGATGAAAAAACAGTCAGAGATCTTTCATCTTTGAGCAAACCTCTTCTTTTTACTACTAATATAAAATCAAACTGACAACTGCTCTACCCACTGACATCGGCAAAGATAATATATTTTTGAATAAATTAATTTACGAGATAATGCACTCTTCGAATTAATTATTTAAATAATGAGAAATTTATAGTGTTGGTTGTAGGTTGCTATGCCATCCGGACGACCTATTAGGTCGTCATTTCTTTTCGGTGAGCTACGAGAGCTTTTGCATGTGCCATGCACGTACCAACACGTTAGGCATCCGAGACCATCCGATCGAGGGCATCCGAACGCATCCAACCGAGGCCATCCGAGGGGTAGGTCGCCATGTACGCTGGGCTAAGAAACAAATATTACCTACATCGGTAATTCGGCTTTCATGCGATTACCTAAATTTTCTTAAATAACAACGATTACGTACATCGACAATTAGACTTTTTAACTACGTTGAAATGGATAGGTCGCCATATGATTCCGGCGATCAAACTGGCGAGATTGTTAGTTACTTTATGGTTTCGGGTAAAAGCCTAATTACCGATATAGGTAATGCAGCAGCTCACCACAGCTCGCAGGGACAGCATGACGACCTCATTGGTCGCCAGGAGCGCCTGGCGATATATGTTTGAACTGTAGATTTCACCTTATCTCAGCAATTAATTGTTGTAACGCATTATCTCGTGAAATTTTTTTTCTAACAATATTATATGTTAGATTGTATATTACAATTTTTATATAATGTACTTAGAATATAGTTTTAGTTTATTTTAATTTTTTATTTTTTTAAATCATATTTAAAATTTATATTTTATTTTAGTTTAGTACTATTCTATTAAAAACTTTTATATTTGATTTATTTTAATAACTCATTAGAAATTTAATATTAACTTTTAAAAAGACTAAAACGGATAAAAACTGATAATTCAAGTATTAAATGTGTTAAATTTTGAACGGCGTATACTATAATAAAATGAAAATTAAACTTTAGGCATGATTTTGATAAAATTGAAAGTTTACTATTAAAATAGACTAAAATTAATAGTTTAAATATTAAATGAGTAGTTTATCTATTTTTATATTGGTAAACTATATAGAATACCACTTAACTATGAAAATATTCTAATTTAATCATCAATCTTTTAATTATATCAATTAAATTACTTATCAAGCCAACTACAATTAACATTGGCTTACGAGATAGTTAATAAAACTAATATAAAGTATAATGCCAAAAAAATGTTCATAATGTTTGACTAAATCATTTTTACAAGAAAATCCATTTGTGGTTAGAGCACTCTTTGTTCTCCCCAAACGATCAAATTTATTAAATTAAATAAAAATTAAAAGTAAATTAATAAAATATATAATTAATGATGATCAAATATGTGATCATATCACTTTTATTAATTGTTATGTCAGTTCTTCCTTCAAATATTAACGATAAATTATTTGATTAGCATCATTTAAATAATTAAATAATATCAATATTTTCTTCATAGTTAATTGACCATCCATATAATTTACCCATTTACATTAATTAAATGTAAATTTAGGAAAATAAAATTAATTATACTATTTTATTATATATGATGAAATAATATTTTAATTGATATTAATTAACATTTATTTTTGATAAATTTTAAATATAATTATAGTTGTACTTGGAAGGAAGATGAATGTGACTTAAAAAGAAGAAAGGGAAGTGTAATTAATTTAAGAGAAAATCGCCTCAGTGACCAAAAAAAAGTTATAATATACGATTTTAACCAACTTTTTTTGGATTTGCCAAAATGACCAACAAAATCGCAACGCGAAATAAAAATCGCAACGCGATCCCCAGAATCGCAAATCAGTTTCCAAAATCGCAACGCGATTCTTGAAAATCGCAATGCGATAGTCAAATTCGCATTGCGATTTTCCAAAATCGCAACGCGAATATGAAAATCGCAACGCGAACACATAAATCGCAATGCGTATCCGTAAATCGCAACGTGTATCCGTAAATCGCAACGCGTATGGGTAAATCGCAATGCGTATCCGTATATCGCAACGCGTATCGGTAAATCGCAACGATAATACATAAAATCGCAACGCGTATCCGTAAATCGCAACGCGATATTTAAAGCGCCATTATAATCGCTACGCGTATTTTATTTTCAAATTACAAAAACGAATATTAAGACAAAATCCCGTAATCGCAACTCATAACCTAAAACCTAAAATCACAACTCAGTCTCTCTCATCTCCACTCTACGGCGAAGAAATCCGTCCCCATCTCCGAAGATTTCCGTCCCCATCTCCGGCGAAATCCCTCACAACCATTCACGGTCAGAAATCCCTCACAATATTCAGAAATGGAAAATCAACCTCCGAGGGTTAGTTTTTTTAATTATTTTTATTTTGAAATGTTTGCATTATTGTAGGTTTTTCATATTGAAACTGATGATAAGTTTACTGGTCATCTCAATAATAGATTAACCATTTCACTTAGATTTCATTTCGCGTTACGATTCTCTCGTTGCGATTTTCATTTCGCGTTGCTATTCTCTCGTTGCGATTTTCAAGTTAGTATTTGTTTGTCTTTGTTCTGTCTTTGGTTGAAGTAATGCAATCCATTCAAGTTTCAATTTGCAGAAGAGTCGCAACGAGATAAATGAAAATCGCAACGAGAGAATGACTGTCGCAACGCGAAATGACAATCGCAACGAGAGAATCGCAACGCGAAATGAAAATCGCAACGAGAGAATCGCAACGCGAAACCAAAATCGCATTGCGATTTTTATTTCGCGTTGCGATTCTCTCGTTGCGATTTTCATTTCGCGTTGCGATTCTCTCGTTGCGATTGTCATTTCGCGTTGCGATTCTCTCGTTGCGATTTTCATTTCAACCAAAGACAAAACAGTGTTGCAAATTTTAGTTTCAAGAATAAACTACTACTTTTATGTTTATTGTTTTTGGTATATCTTCACAGTGTAGTTTTTGGTATATCTAACTTGGTATGTTTATTGTTTTTGTAGAAATTTTTTTCGGCTCAATTGACCTTGAGAAATAAAGTCAGCCTGGCCACTACAATTGCTTCGAAGCTTTCACCTGCTCAAAGACAATTGTTTGAGGAAACCTGCTTCGGGCCATGGCTGAGAGTACAGCATCCGGGTGGAGATGCTAATTTGACCCATTTGTGGCTTCAGACCATGACATCAAATCTACCCGACAGTATACAACGTGGTGAGGAAGAGATATGGTTTCATTTTCCACCAGCGTATACTTGCTTTGGGCGGAAGGAGTTCTGCTTAATCACTGGTCTACGATTCGGACATGATGATGTAGGCCGGTACACTCGTCATATCGCCCGCCCATCATGGTTATCCCGGGTTTTTCCGGATGAGTCAATGGAGAGCCGAACCTACATGTCGACGACCTGAAGAAATTGTTTAATAAGAAAGCTGGTTTCACTCGGATGGATGACGTCGATGTTGTCCGAGTATGCCTTCTACTACTTGTGTATGCCGGCTTTTTAGGCAGAGAGGCCAGACAACCTATTCATCGGGAGCTAATAATATTGGTAGAGGACCTGAATGCATGGAATCTGTTTCCGTGGGGTTCGTATATATGGAAAGCTACCTGGACTAAGTTGTCGTCTGCCTTTGATGACCGCAAAAGTTTGCGGGGCGATGGGTCCAAAACACTTTGTCAGGCTTTGTTTGGGCCTTTAAGGTAAGAATTTCTATATAATGTTTCTAAAATTATAATTAATTATTTAACAATTACTAATTTTGTTATTATTGTTTGTAGATTGGATATTCGAGGCTTTCCCCAGCATGCGTACATATGCAATAAAAACGTCAAATGATATTCCCAGGGCTATTTCCTGGAAGAGGAAACTCTGTTGGATTGGGAAGACTTAATACCATATGCGACAATAAATAATGTAAGTTAACACAAATACTTTCATATAATATATAAACTAGTTATTAATAGTAGACGTTTAACTTTGTTTGAGTTTTTATATTTTAGGAGGCCAACATTCCATTACAAAGACTGACACCCACGGAGGAAGAGCTTGCCACTGATTGGTGGCAAGCTAGTCAGAGTTTTTTTGATGGCACGGATGATGAGCAGCATCCACTTCCTCCAATTCGAGAGCCATCACCTCACCTAGAGCCATCACCCGATAGACCCGACTATACACCTCTAGAACGAGAGCCATCACCTATCCCGTCACATCATCGAGCCTCTTCTCCACCATCACCTCATGATAGGCGACCGGCAAAGATGCCACGACTCCTATCTCCCTGTTCTCCACCTCCACCTCAACGGGATGAGTCAAGGGAGTTACGTGATGAGGTCAATGCCTTGCGTGAGGAGATCGGTACTCTACGCGATAACGATGGTGCATGGCGTGTGGAGGTGTCAACTTTACGTGGTGAGGTTGCCGCTCTACGTGAGATGATAGTATCGTTGCAGAATGAGGTTCATACTCTACGCAACGAGGTAAGTTTAAGATTTTCCATATTTAACTTAATGACAAATGTTTGGTTTCTGCAGGTTAATCTCAGAAGTGAACTGCGTGAAAATGATTTCGAGCTGCAAAAGTTGATTCAATAGTTTAATTGATTGTTTTTTGATTGTTTAATTGATTTGTAAAAGTTGATTCAATAGTAAATGATCGGAAATAAGAATTATTGCTTATTTTTTGATTGTTTAATTGATTTGTAAAAGATGATTTGTAAAAGTTGATTTGTGTAATTGATGCGAACATAATTCTTATTTGTGCTTGTTTAATTGATTGAAATGTAATGGTTGATTTTGTTGATTTCAATCTGCATTATGTTGAAGGCAAAAATGACTATCGCAATGCGAAATGAAAATCGCAATGCGAAATGAAAATCGCAACGAG